ATCATAGAGGCAGGTTTACAACATACAGGAAAATCACACAGTACCGGGAATCATGGCCTAGCCAAATTGATACACACATTTTGGGGGGGACATAATTCAAACCATGATAGCTTCTAACCGAAAGGTCAGTGGTTCAAACCCACCAGCACAAACCCACCGGCCACTATGAGGGAGCGAGATGTGGCAGCCTGATCCTGTGAAGATTACAGCCTTGGAAATCCCATAGGGCAGCTCTCCTCTGTCCTGTAGGGTCTCTATGATTTGGAATGGACTCATTGGCAGTGGGTTGGGGTTTGTCTTTTGTTTATAGCCTATTCTTAGCACGTTTGGTTTTGTTGTTACATTGGTAAGCAAGAGAGACTTTGTGTTGCTTACATTCTCATGGGAAAAATGGTCGTTTAACTACTTAGCAAATGAAGTAATTAGAGATTGTGATCAGTATTATGAAGGGCATAAGCAAGATGATGTGATAGAGAAAAGAGGGGGCTGTGAAATACTTTAATCTGGTCAGGAAAGCCTTTCGACGCTAGGGCTTGAGGAGATGCCCATTCTGGGCAGAAGCCTTCTCAGTCCTGAGGTGGGGGAAGAAGCAGGTTGGGGAGGACTAGAGTTTGGAGGCCTTGTGGAGAGGGGTAGAGATGGAACTGGGAGCCAGGGAAAGGTCAGATAACACAGGGCCTTGGAGGCCACGGGGAGGCATTTGGCTTTTGTCCTCCAAGCCCTGGGGAGCCACCGAAGAGTCTTGAGTAGGGTAGGTGGTGTGGTCTGATTTGCCTCTCAAAGAGCTCATTCTTTTATGTTTGTTTTTTAATCTCTTGGTAGCAGCTTTGTTAAGGTATAATTCACATGCTGTACAATTCACCCCTTTGAAGTGGTTTCGGTAGTTTTCAGCATATTCACGATATTGTGCAACCATCACCACAGTCTAATTTCAGAACATTTTCATCAGCCTAAAAAGGAATCTCTCACTCGTTAGCAGTCACTGCCCAGCCTCACCCTGCAATCCTGCACAACCA